GCTTCTGTTTTGGTGTCCTTCAACACTTTATGAGGTCACTTCTAGTTATATTCCCAGTGTGTTTATATTCGCCCATATTCTTGATAATGGTTGCAAAGCCTGAGGTCAAAGGAAAGATTTGTGCAGGATGTTTCTTCCACAATGACTGTAAAATGCTTTATGTGTTCTTGATAATAAACTCTTGGGAAAGGACCTATTCATGCCTAGTCCAGCTGGCCAATTATTTGGTCAAGAGATAATGTGCATCATTAGTCCCACAACAATTTGGAAAGCATTCCCAGTATTTAGAGAACTCTTAATTGAAATTAGATCAGCATTTCCACCAATCCATAGCAAGGAGACCAGAGGAATTATTAAAGGAGTGATGTTTTATTTTTTTAGTGTTTAATAGAATACATAATGAGTCACATAATCAATGATTAATTACTTCACACACAGGGAGGGAAACAGTATTGAATATTTCTCTTGTACAACCAGTTGTGAATAGGGAGAGCAAAACTAGAGCATTTATATGGCTAAAGGAATTCTCACTGTTTAGGCACCTATGAAAAGACTTCATCACCATGTTTTTTGTTTATAATAGGGAGTATCTTCTTGCCTTTGTGTTTTACTAGAAATGTCTGATATCTTTCCTCTATCTCTGTGTTTTGAGAAAATGGCTCAGTGATATCTATCACTTAGCAAATAACATTTGCAACAGTTTCAGAATCCCAGATAGTGCTGTGGGAATCTTAAATTATTTAACAAATAAAAATTTTTCAGATGCCCAGAAAAATTTAAACAACATATAATTTACACCTTAAAAATTCACATCCATTATAAATGCCTTAACCCTTTGTCATTCAATGGTTAATAATGGTGGTAATTAGTTACCTTGCATCATTCATATTCAATATTTGTAGCAAAATGTACCTGACTATAAAGTCACAAAGACAGTTGTATAATTATTTATATTACAATTAATGTCTACATATTTCAAAACACATTTAGGATTTTTTAAAATAAAAATTTGGCTTGGAAAAAAAATCACAGAATATTTAAGTGGCAAGGAATCTTGGTCAACTAGTCCTTCTTACCACGAAAGGTTATAATCTAATGTAGATATGTGCTTGAATTTCTTCAGTCTAAGTTTTAGAGACTCCAGTAAAGAATCTAAATCCTCAAGTTTTAATATATTTAAGTATTTTCCTTTAATACTTCAACATATTTATTGTCCCAAAATTTAAAAAGAAAAGTTGGCTACAACATAACTTGTTTCTGGCTATAAGAAAAACCTGTTTCAGGTATAAGGGACTTGGGAAAGTCATTTCTCAAGAGACAGCATTGGATAATCTTTTTAAACTTCAGGTTTGAAATGATTCTTAATAAGGAAAAACAAGAGGAGAAAAACCCAAAACAGAATAGTCACTCCAATAGGTTTACAATAAAAATACTCAGTTTAAGGTTTTAAAAACTTAAGTCAATTGTGTAAAGTACTTGCTATTTATATTACAGAAGAAATTCCTAAGGAGTTCAACAACTCCAGTCAAAGCTTTGCTAAATGTCTGCATTACAATTTACCACTTTTGGTAAGAATACAAAAATGATTTGAATATTAGGCTGGAATTTACCATAATTTGAAGAGTAAAAAAATTTTCAAAGCTTCTTACATGGCTTTAATTTAGTAACATTCCATGGAAAATTCCAATAAAAACTGTAATATGCAACAAGCACTGCCCATTTGGTATTTGCACATTATGAATTTCCTAAGACAATTTTATCTAGTATTATAAGTATTCACTGCTGTTTTTTTAAAATCCAAATAAGAAACACAAAAATAAAAATAGTATTGTTAGGGAAAATTCTTTAGTCTCATACTTCAAGGAATACTTTCAACATTATTTAAAAAATTAGAATGTGATTCATAGTCACGTACCAAACATAGGTTAAATACTTGAGGCAAAAACATGGAACATGATAGCTCTTTTTTTATCACCACAGTCAATGATTCTGTCTACAAAACTAATTGTCTAACATCACTCAGTTATATTTATGAACATCAAATTGGTAATTGGCGCAACGTATGCAAATGCTTGCTTCTCTGAGTCAGATTAAAGCAGTCATACTCATCTGCATAGTTTCCACATTCTGCCATGATATTTGAATGGTGCTTTGGGGGGAGCTCATTCAATGGGACTCTATTAAGCATCCTATCCAAGCTCCCAGATGATCACCAACACTCCAGTTCATTCTGTAGACCTTAAATGCACATGGAAAGGAAGGGATCCAAAAGGCCCAGGTCAAGGGAACTTAATTCTGTTATACTCTGTTCTCCATGGAAAAGGAGTTGCCTTGTCATTATGTGGGGCTTAAAGTAGGAAGTTCTGATGTGTTCGCTTCAAGAGCAGAAAGAACAATCATTTGTAAAAAGAAGTCAGTTTATGCTGCCCCAAACATTAGATTCTTTAAAGGAATCTATGGGATGCAGGAGGGAAAGGGCAGAAGTTGGAGGAGTAGAAAGATGACTATTACAGGATAGAATAGTTAGGCTCAAAGTTACACAAAATACAATTCATAACACGAGTAGCAGAGACAAAATTTTAGCCTCCTAACTCTTGGACATGTGCAGATTTGAGGAGGGAAATCAGAATCACCAAGTCTTGCCATTTGTCAATGTTTCTGATCTGTCCTAAAGACAATCATTTGCTTTTTCATTGAGCAATCTAACAAAATGCCACAGGAGAGACACCCTATGTGACACTCACTCTAGGCCGGTGAACAAGAATGCTAAATCATTTGAGGCTAGACTTGTAAGTTATAGGAACATAACCCTCCTGGATTTCTGCATTTATTTCCCTTAAAATTACAGTGTTTGTACATAAAGCTAACCTTTCTAAAAAAAACATAACTCAAATAAAGAGCTTAAACTTTTCTTCCCAACTGAAATGAAAAAATACTAGTGGAATAAAAATGCAGGTGCCTTGATTTTAAGTAGACAGTTAATGGACATATTATTAGTATACAATACTCCAGGGGGAAAAAAGTATAAAGCAAACTCGGGATTACAATTATGTATTTTTCCTGGCCCAAATTCACCATAGACAAGGATATATGAAACTCACCAAAAGCTTAATATACACACCAGCCAATGCAAGTTTTCAGAGGGAGGTTATATAGGAAATGTTATAGTATTAGTAAATGACTTAAAAAACTAAATGATTCATGTAAAATGTTTATGTATGGTATATACAGCTTAGATCACGAGTCTATGAATGAAACTGTCCCACTTCCTAAAATCTGTCATGAACATAGCAAGATACAGTACAAGATTCGTTTTAAAAAGGAAGGAGAAAATAGCACTAATTTAAACACTGAAGACGACTCTTACAAATTCTTTAAAAACATATTTCAGAGAAAGATGCAAAAACAAACGAAGAGATAGAAAGGCTTCTCCGTCATCGCAGAATTCCAAAGGATGCCTCACAGAAAGAAGCATGAGGAATCGGCCATTCCTCGTCACTTATGGTGAACATAGGGTACACACTGGGCGTTCATTCCACACGAGAGTAAAGGCATAAGGCAACCAGGTCTCCTATTTCTGTTGCTTTTCCCTAAAACACCATTTTATTGCTCTGCTCACATTTAAGTACTTATTTTGCCTTCATTTAAAAAATATTCCATTTTCCATATAGATAGATAGATGGACGGGCAGCCCTCCGTGGTTAAATTTCTATGTAGCTCTATCCATTTTAACGTCAAACTGCATGAAGGAAATGACATTGTTAGCGTTTTTTGGGCGGCGGGGGTGAGCAGTAACGATTTGCTGGGCTTGAATACAATAAGGATTTTTCAGTAAGATTTTCTTTCTAAAGAACCAAATTTGAACTAACTCTGCTTACCTAACAGATTCTAAAATCAGGATTTATAGCCAATAAAGTAAAAGTTGAAAAACTAAAATCTGACTGAGTAACGCTTTGGTTGGGTTATATAAGTATTCACAAAATAAGTTTAGGGAGTCAAAATTGTTTTTTAACTGGGATCTGTCACTAATATTGATTAAAATGCAAATTTGCAGTAACTTTGCTATTTAAATGCTCATGTACTCAAATGGATGGTACACACTTTCAACTTCCAAATAATGCATGGGTTATGTCTACTGTTCCCTCCCCATCTTTCCTCCCTCCTCTCCTCCCTCCCGCCCGCCCCGCCCCAACCAAGTCCTAGATCTAATTGGCTGTACCATCCTACTGCCCACCAAAAGACGTGCATTACTACCCAGCTCCATTCAAATCACTGCCAGGTGACTTCTGGCAGCCCCTGGCAATCTGGGCCGCCTCGCTTCTTGGGAGACAGCAGCATCCTTTCTCTCTCTGGACCTCCAAGGCTGCCGTATTAATCAATGCAACCCAGACCTCCCTGGACAGGAGGGAGTAGCAAGTTTAAGCTACAGACAAAGCTTTATTCCCGGCTGGAAAAAAAGGATAAGATCGTTCACAGTGCTGGCTCTAGTCCAATACTGTAACTTTTCAAAACTTTACAGTCACTGACTGCACTGCCCTCCACGGGGGTCTTAATTCAAGCATCAGTCTTCCAATCAGTTTGCGAAAACTCTCCTTGAATGAAGATCAGAAAGACCGTTAACCACCTCCTAAGCCCCTCACCACCCCCTCCCCGCCCCAGTGTTATCAGTTCTGATCTCTTAAACCTGAAAGGAGTCCAAAGGACTTCAGAAGATAAATCTTCTGTACACTAATCAGGCTCTGAACAATTCAGTCTTTGCCAGGTGCTTGGTGCTTTTGCGCCCACGCTGCCCGCTTGGATCCACGCGGAAGTACCCCGGCCCCGTGGGGTGGAGGGCGCGTGGGTGGAGGGCCACGTTCCAATACTCTTGGTTAGTTAGCCGGGTCCACGGACGAAGAAGCCCAGAGGATGTGTGGCTGCAGAGTCTGAAGAAGGGGAGCTGACGGCTCTGGAGGAACTAGTGAGGGGATGGGGGGGGCGGGGAACGGGGGAAACCGGGGGGGGGCAGGGGCTGGGGATCGATCATCCTCTCCCCCGCGTGGAGCCGGGGCAGTGGGCGCGGGAGCGGCGTGGGGACCCGGGGCGCTCACTACTCCCTGCAGAAGACGTACTCGGTGTAGCTGGTCCAGATCTTGTCCTCGCTCTGGTCGGTGCTGCCTGCGAAGGCGCAGGTGCCCGTGGAGCTGCACGCCACCATGTGGAAGCCCGATTCGGACAGCTTGTCGAAGGCCTGCTCCAGGAAGTTGAACTTGAGGTAATAGCGCGAGGTGTAGCGCTCGGGGGGCCGATCGGGGTCCCGGCTCTCGTTCAGGGTGTCCCCGAACACCTCCTTGGCCAGCGAGGTCTTGCCGCACACGGTGATGCGCGCCACCCGCCGGAACTTGGCGTCCGCCTGCGCGTCCCGCCCGATGGTGTAGGAGCCGCGGTAGCCGATGGTGATGTAGCCCGATCGCCGGCTGCCGTCCAAGGACTGGGACGGTGTGAGCAGCGGGCCCGCCGCGCCCCCGGACGGGCTGCGGCTGGCCAGCTCCAGCGTGGGGGACGGCGCTCCGGCCGAGGCGCCCTCCTGCGGCTCCGGCTCCCCGTAGCCCAGCGGCAGCAGCTCGTCGCCCAGGGAGCCCTCCTTGTGCACCCCGCGCCGAGAGTGCGGCGGCGGCGGCCCGGGGCCGGGCTGCTGGGGCGCCCCGAGGCGGCGCACCAGCTCCGGCAGCTCGAAGTACTCGGCCTCGCGCTGCAGCCGGCTGCGCTCCGGGAAGTAATCGGGCAGCACGAGCTGCAAGTCCCGCAGGTAATCCAGGATGTAGCGGAAGAGGAAGCCGTCCCGGTCCAGAAAGAAGCGGCCTTTGCTGTCCCGGGCCAGCTCCTGCGGCTGCTGCTGCGTGAACATCCGCCAGAGCAGGGACTCGGGCACCGACACCACGGTGCAGCGCCGGGTCACATACACCTGGCCCCCCACGTTCAGCTCCACGATGTCGGGGAAGAGCGGCGGCTCCGCGGAGGACGACGAGGAGCCGCTGCCGCCCCCGCCGCCGCCCCCGTTGGGTAATCCTCGAGTGCTGTCCGCCAGAGCCATGGCCAAGAAGTGCTCGGGTTGAGCCGGCGGCGGGGACGCACCGCGCTGGCCGCGCTCAGGAGCCGCGGCGCCGGGACGCTCGCTCAGCCCTGCACCCCGGCCGCGGCAGCCAGCCGAGAGCTACGCGGTGTGAGCGCGCCGCCGCCTCCGCCGCCGCTGCCTCCACCGCCACCGCCGGGCGCCCCCCGCGAGCCCCGTGCCACGCACCCGCCTCGCCCGCGCGCTCCAGGCGAGTGCCGGGTCGCGGCCCGCACCGCGCTTAAGTAGAGCCGCCCCGCTCGGGCGCCCGCCGCGGCGCGCAGGAGGCGTGGGCGGCCCGGAGCTGCGGAGCGGAGCTCGGCTCCCCCGGGCGGGGGCGGGGGGAGGGGACCCAGACTCGATTTGCATCTTAAACGCTGACGCGGCTCGGGGCTGCTGGCTCCACCCCGGCTTGCGCTCTGGGGCGGGGGGGACGGGGGGGAGTGAGCGACCTGGGTTCCCCCCCCACACTCGCTGCTGGTCCCCTCCCCGCGCTCCCGCCCAACTTTCTCTCTCTTCAGCCACAGGCTGTCTCCCAGGATCGTGGAGTTACGGGGGGCGGCCTGGGCTCCCCAGCCCCGCTCAGCGCCGGCACTCTAGGAAGGGGGACGTAAACTTTCTGTACACCCCCTCCCCGCCACCGGCGGAGCGGAAATGCGGGCCGGCCGCCGCGCCCGGGACCTGGCTTTGGCGCTGCGGTGAGTGGACCGGGTCCCTCCCTACTGGAAAGTTTTCTACACCAGTCAAGAAACCCTAGAGGGGCCGAGAGGCTCTGGAGTCCCGAGGCTGCCAAATGTTCTTGTTGCTGCCGCGATCGTCTAGGGAAAAAACGAAGTCCCTAGAATCAAAACGGTATCCTCCGTGTCGGGCCTAGGGCGCTCTCCGCTAGCTCATTCTCTGGGTGTGGATTCTGGTCCCGAGACCTCACAATGGGAAGCAATGGGCAAAAGGTGTGGTTTGAGGCGGTGAGTCTCCGCGAGGGCAGCCCGGGCAGCCCCTCCCTGCGGGGGCAGGCGGAAGGTAAAGGGTTCGGGAAGACCACCGACTCCCTTCAGAGGTCCGTGAACCACGCACCAGCTCCCAGCCCCGGCGTTATTTATCCTTCCAAAGGTTCAAGCGCCCTGGCTGGACTTTCCATTCAGTTCTTCCCAGCTCCCCTCGATTAGGCAGTCCTTTCCAGTCTCAGAGAGGGATATTTGTATATTCGGATGCCTTCTTCAAGATCCCATCCGGTCCTCTAATTCCTGCTGCACCCTGCACATTCCCGTTTACCTGTCAGATTGAGGCCCACGGAGGACTCCTCTGCCAGAAAGCCTTTCCTGGTCTCCCACGTGGATTTGGGGATCTGGATGGCTCCCTAACATATGCTCAGCACACATTGTGAAATTTTATATTACGAATGATTATCTGATCGCTAACTTCGGTAATATTCATTTACTTATTCATAGTGTATCCTCAATTCAAGCTGACAGCATAAAACCACCCCCAGTGGCTGGAAGTGGATCTGCTATCCAAGGCTCAAGTGGTAGAGCACCACCTTGAGCGAAGAAGCTAAAGGACATTACCAGGTCCTGAGTTCAAGCCCTAGCTCCAGCACCAAAAAAAAAAAGACAAGATAGAGAAGAGTGTTGAAAAATCGTTGGGCCAATTAATGCGGCACACTAGTGCCACCAGTGCCTGCTAGCAAGGAAGGAAAGACAACAATTTCCAAGGCTGAGGCAGATTGCTGAACAGTTATCAGATCCACTTGAAATTCAGGCTGTCAATCAGGATAAATCAGGAAAGATCTTTGTTCTTGATAAGTATGTTTACCCTTTTGTGTAACTTCCCAGTGAGCTTTTATAGTCTCCTCACGGATAAGTGTCATTTTCATTTTGAAATGTTTATGTCTGCTGAACAATTATTGCACTCATGTCAGTGAGCTGAAATAAGATCAAGCCCCAAACTAGTTTGTTTAATTGCAAGTGCAGATTTTGATACTGAATATATTTCCTCACTCTCTTTTTGTATTGTTTTGGGGGGATAAATAATAGCTGACACACAAGTCCCAAGTTCAAATGCTGAGTTTCTAGGAGTATGTGCTATTTATTGGTTCATGGGCCTGACAAAGAAATACTTCTAATTGTGTCAATTCTGCACGTATTTTTTAGAAGGCCTGGAGCTTAAACTCAGGTCCTGAGTACTGTCCCTCAGCATTTATGCTCAAGGCCACCACTTTACCACCCATGTGAGCCATAACTCGACTTCCAGCTTTTGGGTGGTTTAGTGGAGCTACAAGTCTCACAGACTTTCCTGTCAGGCTGGCTTTAAACCATAATCCTCATATCTCAGCCTTCTGAGAAGCTAGGATTACAAGCATGAGCCACCAGTGCCCATCTTTTGCACATATTTTTATTTTTTTAATTTATTTATTTTTAGAATTTTATTGTAAAGGTGACATACAGAGTACATTTCCTTTTGAATGGTGTCACCCTCTCCCTCTTTCTCTCCCAGTTTTTAACCCTCCCAAATTCCCTTCTCCCCAAGTGGTATAGTTCATTTCCAACATGGTGTCCAGTGGGTTTCACTGCTGAATTAGTCCACCCTTGGTCCCACCATTTCCGCTGCACATACTTTTAAATAATTATTTTTTTGTATCAGCACTGTCTACAAGACCTTTCCAGATTACTTACAGGTCTCATCATCCTGGACCAAGCCATCATTACCTCTTTCTTGGATTATTACATTGGTTGCCTAACTGCTCCCACCCTCGTCTTTTTGCAGGAATCCTATTACAACGTAAGTGGATACAGCACTCTGCTCAGGACTATACAATAGCTTCTTAGCTCATCACAGCCCCTTGTAACCTATAAGACTCACCATGATTGAAGCTGCCCCAGACTAGTCTCTGGTACACCTCACCATTTTGCTAAGCCTGAGAAAGTGTCTTCAACCAGCCACAGACCTTTTCCCCTCCTTCACCCTTTGCTCAAAAGACTCATTCCTTCCCCCAGCCTCCATCGCATACCTTCTCTACGTGTTGGCATGTTTCCCTTCTGGTTTCTTCAAGTCCCCTTTCTGTTTCTTTTCTTTTCTTGTTTTTGTCCCAGTCCTGAGGCTGGGTGGTGTCCTTGAACTTATTTTTCTCAAGGCCAACAATCTACCACTTAAACCACAGCTCCACTTCTGGCTCTGTTTTGATAGTTAATTGGAGTCTCAGTCTTTCCTGCCCAGGCTAGATCTCAGCCTCCCGAGAGGACAGGCATGAGCCACCGGCCTGTTAAGTCCCTTTCTTTATCTCTCCATTAGTGAGGTGTAATGCAGCCCTACTCCAGAGCTTCTCTTTCTCTTCCATATTTGTTGATGTCTTTTTCCCTAAATTAGACTATAAAACCCCAAAAGGTCAAAGATCACTGTCTGTTTGATGCATCGCTATATCTCCAGTGCCTAGGACTGAGCTGGTGTACTATAGGTACAAGTCTCTGTTGGTCATTCCACTAAGATTTATTTAGGGCTCCTGGTAGGGTCCAGGCAATGTGTTAAAAACATAACCACTGCCCTCTTAGAGCTCAGGTCTTTTAAGGGAGACAGTAAATACATATGTGTATTAAGTGCCTTTCAGATGGTGGTAAATGCCACATTAAAAATAAAGAGATGTACATGGCGATATGACTTTAAATCCAGAGCCTGGGGAAGAACTCATTGGGGAAAGAGACATTTGAGCTGGACCATAGGACACATTGTGAGGAAGAGTGTTCTAGGCAAAAAGTAAGCAAGGCAAAGGGGCCTGGTCTGGAATGAAGTTAGTGTGTGTCACAGCTGAAGTTTATGTATGGGGTCATCTGCATCCTGGAACCTCCACAGAACCCTTCAGATTAAGTACAAACTCAACTGTGAATGGTACTGCATGCTTGCACACCACCATCAGCTTCTACCTGTTTGTCCACCACAAGCTAATCTACTCCAGGAAAAGCTACTGTTGTTCCTTATAAAAGCTAGGGTGTGCCATGAAAGATAATTGTGAAAGTGTGATTTGATACTAAAGCAGTAATTTTCTGGTTGTTTTGGAGTGTTCTGTGTCTTGCACATATCTTAGTTTTACAAAATATAAGAAGAAATACAACTGAGGGATTTTGATGCTGGGACCAGAGGACCTAGCTGTGTTTGCTGGGAGCAAGTGATCCACACTGGGTGTGCTCATTGTGTTAACTACACTAACTGGAATCCAGGAAGATCTGGAAAACCACTGAACCTAGTTTCTAGTGATGGATATATAGATGTGCCTTGTTCCTTTTCAGGTGACTCTTCATACTCTCCTAAATAAGAGACAATATACATTAAAAGAACTTGATCTTTTGATCCTAAAGTGTAGGACACTGCAAATGTGTCTGGACTTAACTTCTAATTTCATTCCTACATACTACCTGGGCTTGGCAGCTTTCTCCACCCCCACCCCAGCACTTAGAAACTATTGTAAGTACACACCCAAGATTGAAGGGAAGGAGAATGGAACATTAAAAGAAATATAAAACTAAATGGGGAATAACAGGGGAGAAATTAAGTGAATGCCTCTGAGGACTGAATGGATTTCATATATGTGAGAATAATCTGCAAGCTGTAAAACACCATTCAAGTGTCAGAATCAGTATTTTCCACCACTTATCACGGTTCCTGACAAGTCTGCTCAATAAATAATGAATAAATCAATGACAGAAGCATTAACATGTGCGCTGTCAGGGCAGGGGACCAAAGGCAGAACAGAAATTGTCCTGAATAAACGTCTGGTGCATTTATCATCTTCCCAATATGGGTAAATATTGTTGTGTATGGGAGTTTTAAAATAATTTTTGCTCAAGGCTGGTGCTCTACCACTCTCTACTTCCAGCTTTTTGCTGATTGATCTTGGAGATAAGAGTCACAACAGACTTTTCTGTCCAGACTGGCTTTGAACTGACATCCTCAGATCTTGGCCTTCTGAGTAGCTAGGCTTGTAGAGGTGAGCCACTGGTGCCTGGCTGTAATCTGTGCTTTAAAAACACTGCATTTTGAGGCTGGGAAGGTGGCTCAGTGGTAGAGCGTTTGCCTTGCATGCCTGAGGTCCTGGGTTCAATTCCTCGTTACAACATAAGCAAAAACAAAAAAGCCGGAAGTGGCGCTCTGGCTCAAGTAGT